TTGTATGTAAGTGATGAATCACCGAATTCCACTCCTGAAACCAATATCACACAGTATGTTAACTAACGAAAATTTAAATTTTTTTTAAAAAAAAGGAAAAAACAAAAGACAAACCTGGAAACTTTTTAAAATTTCAGAATGAGAAAAGCTTTATTTAGAAGCCATCAAAGAAAAATAAGAATAAATTTGATGATGAAAAAATGGAGGGTTCTACACAGGAAAAAAAAAAAAAAAACACCCAATAAACTCCATAAACAAACAAACCCCAGGGCCGCCTGGATGGCTCAGTTGGCTAAGCATCTGACTTTGGCTCATGTCACAATCTTGCCGTTCACGAGTTTGAGCCCGCGTCAGGCTCTGTGCTGATAGCTCGGAGCCTGGAGCCTGCTTTGGATTCTGTGTCTCCCTCTCTTTCTGCCCCTCCCCTGCTCATGCTCTGTCTCTGTCTCTCAAAAATGAATAAACGTTAAAATATTTTTTTAAATTTTTTTTTCAACGTTTTTATTTATTTTTGGGACAGAGAGAGACAGAGCATGAACGGGGGAGGGGCAGAGAGAGAGGGAGACACAGACCCCGACGCGGGGCTCGAACTCACGGACCGCGAGATCGTGACCTGGCTGAAGTCGGACGCTTAACGGACTGCGCCACCCAGGCGCCCCTAAAATATTTTTTAAATAAACAAATCACCGAGGAAAAAAACCTATTTACAACACATTCACTAATGTGGAAGTCTTTGAGGAGGCCTAGAAAATGGCAGCCCTGTACCCTGCTTAACTCTGAACAAGTTGAGAAATTAGACCAAAAAAAGACCCATGAAGGCTAAAACAACAGCTATATTTCTGGGAAAGACATTTGATTGCATTAATTACATTGCGTGGTGTGAGAGCCAATGGGTGGCTAACAGGACCCCAGATCAAGACGTGTCACGGAAAGCGTAAGACACGCCTGGTACACAACAGCTGCCCCGGCTTTTTTCTGACTTTGAGCACCCCAGCTTCTTCCTACTTTAGAGACTGTGGGCTTGTTTTTCTTTCTTTTGCAGACGGCATGATCTTTTACTAGATATTCTGGGGCTGGTTCCTGGTCACTACTCAGACCTCAGCTCGAGTGTGATCTCTTCACAGAGATCCCCCTACTGACAGGAGACCACTCTTCACAATGGCAGGTTGTCTTGTTTCTTTACTTATTTATTTGAATAGCTATGTTGTGTTCATTTTCCCCCACTGAAATAGAAGCACCATTAGAACATAGTACCTGGCACACAGTAAGTACTCAGTAAATACTCGTGGAATAAGTAAGGGCTGACAGAGAATGCATCAACAGAGCCTAGAAGAGTCCGTAGCTTGGGGGAGTCAGAGAAGGCTTCCAAAAGGATGTAAAGGGATGATCTTTAAGTGGGGAACTGATAGATGAGTAGGCATTACCTAGGGTGGCCTTTGACTCAAAATTGAGAAAAAGAGGGAAAGGGATCTTCCAAAGATTGGGACTAAAAAGCTATGTTTGGAGGGGGGAAAAAATGTGAGCGGAACGCCTGGGTGGCTCAGTCGGTTGAGCGTCCGACTTCGGCTCAGGTCATGATCTCACGGTTTGCGAGTTCGGGCCCCGCATCCGGCTCCGTGCTGACAGCTCAGAGCCTGGAGCCTGCTTCAGATTCTGTGTCTCCCTCTCTCTCTAACCCCTCACACGTGCTCTGTCTCTCTCTGCCTCTCAAAAATAAAGAAAACTAATTTTTAAAAATTAAAAAAAAAAAAGAAAAGAAAAGAAACGTGAGCAAGGAAATAGCCCTTTGGTGGGTGCCTGGGTGTATAAATAGTCCAAAATGGCTAGAAGTCAGATTGAAAGGTAAAAGACAGCAATAGTCGAGGCTGGAAATCTTAGCAGAGGTCAGGACCATGGAGGGGTTTGGGGCCATATTAAGGAGTTTACGTGTTATCTTAAGGATGGTGGGAATCTTTTCAGACAGTTGAGCTTGGAAGCAAAAGATCACATTTATGTTTTGAAAAAAATCTTGTGTCCCTAAGACCTAATACAGTCTGTGGCCAACCTAATTCCTCCCCCAAACCAGTGAATGAACCGTCGGTGGAGAAGGTGTTCGCGAAGAGCGGTACCAGGCAGGAGGACCAGCAGGGGGGTGGTGACAAATGATGGTGGCTGGCTTCAGGAGGCGCCATGGATGCTTTCAGACACATGCTTGGATGGATTGCTGCATCTGTCTGCGTGGTGCAAGCTCTGCCCTGCAGGTACTTTCTTAGCCTTGCAGAGGGCACAAGGCATCATGCTCCACTTTAGACAAATGCCCAGGTTCCTTAAGGATGAGGGGCGGGAAGGTGAACAGGTTCGTTTTGGTGTCTCTTACTCTTCCCTCATTTCAAAGTTGTCTCTTTTTCAGATTTCTTTTTTTTTTTTTTTAAACGTTTTATTATTTATTTTTGAGAGAGATTGAGAGACAGAGCATGAGCCAGGGAGGGGCAGAGAGAGAGGGAGACACAGAAGCAGAAGCAGGCTCCAGGCTCCGAGTTGTCAGCACAGAGCCCGAGGCAGGGCTCGAATTCACGAGTCTCAAGATCATGGCCTGAGCCGAAGTCGGACGCTTAACCGACTGAGCCATCCAGGCACCCCTCCTTTTCAGATTTCTGCCACCTGACCATTAGTCCTAGATGGCCTCTGAGCGTGTCCCTGTCTTTCAAACAAAGGCTGGAAAAAGAAATGGCAAGAACCACTCAGCTAAATCCTTTGGTGAGTATATAGATTCTCCTTTTCCTTAAGGAGAAGGGCTCATTAAGTAAATCCTGCGTTCAGCCCTGGCCCGTGTTTACTGAAAACGAAACACGAGAAGCTCGACAAAACCAGTTCCAGAAACAGGCGAGTCCATCCGTGTCAAACCACAATCCTGGAAATTGAATGTATAATTCATAAAGTAAATTATAAGAGATTACTTGTACAAGTAGCTGCAATGTCCTTAAAATTATTCTTTAACTGAGGAAAAGTTTTTTGACCTTTGGAGAAAATGCTTGCTTCTAGCTATGACTAAAAAGAGATTTCCTTCTTTCTCTGTTGTGTTAAGAATCTTTTCTTCTTATAAAGAAGGCACCACAGTGATTTATAACTGTCATAAAAGCCTGGAATCCTTTTGAGGTTAAGCTACTCAGCTATTCAACTTTTACTACAGAAACTTTGAAATTCAAAAAGAAAAAATAATGTAAGTTTTTGAAGGACATGTGTTGCTGTAGGTGATCCCGTTAATTAAAAGTGATTGCCTGCTAGGAAATCATACTTTAAAAAGTTTCATGAATTTATTAGAACCCTGAAGGTATCTTTGTATGCACCCAGCTTTACATGCCATTTATGCAATTTTGTTTCAGATCTGCTTAAAGTCTTGCTGACACTCCCAGAGCAAGGGAACAGCGCTGTGAGCATGTGTATGTGTTTTGGCTAATTGAATTATGTGAAAATACATACTAATGAAGCTGTTAGCAGAGGTGTTTGTTTAGAGGAGTAGACTCTCCCTCTAATTCCTTCTAAATTAGAATCATCTTTCTGCGGCAGATTAACGTTTTGGGAAAGGCTGCTTTCTTATAGAAAAATAGCACATTGTCTAATATAGTGATTCTTTTTTTTTTTTTTTTTTTGCATGCTAAAAAGCTCTCTGCACACCTGATGTGCACATTGTACGGGAGAAACCCTAAAAGGCATTTTTAATTTCAAAAAATGAACGACTCTGGAGAGACCAATGATGTGTAATTATCCAATAAAATTAATGAGCAGATTATTAATCTTCTCTTAAAACATGTTGGGGTTTTTTTGTCCCCCCCCCCCCCTCCTTTAGCACACTTCTAAGAGTGACTGCGTTTCGTCTGGCTTGGTTTTAATGAGGATTATTATTTAATGGTCCTATTTGGATTATTTTGCCGCGCGTCTATTTGGAGATAGTGCCTCGTAACGTTTGTTGCTGTGATTCTGCGATCCCCTGATGCTGGTGTTTGAGGAGTACGCTATGGCAACGCAGTGGTTGTTTTTCACAGGAACCCAGGGAGCCGTCAAAGTCAGAGAACGCGCGTCTGTTTGCAGTGGAGGTGGGCAGGCGGCGAAGTCCCCGCGCATCGCTCGGCCTTCGGGGCGACAGCAATCAGCGAATGGCCTGGCGGGGACGCGGGGCCGGTGGCCCGCGCGCCGCTGGCGCCTTGCGGGGTCACAGGCACCAGAAAGCGGCTTGCTCGCCCTGTGTCGCACGGTCGCCTTGCACCGGGTGCTCTGCTGCAGGAGATGAGCGGAGCCGGAGGGGCCAGGCTCTCAGCACATCCCTCAAGGGAAGCGGCGGCGGTGGCGCGTTCCGGCTGGCGGGCGGGGGTGCAGAAGCCAGGGAGCCTCGACGGGGAAGAAAACCGTGAGAAAACGTGGGCTCGTTGCGCAGTGCTCCGCGCGCGTGTTTGGAACACACAGGGGTACCTTAGAAACAAATGTAACCCGAGATTGAGCTGGAAATGGGCCACGCGGCTAAAACACTGGATGCTTGGAAAACAGGTTGGGGGGTGGGGGGGAGACAGAGAAGCCCGAGAATCATAGAGAATGATTGGTGGGGGGAAATGACACAGGCGTGTTAGAAAGCTATATATTTCTAATCTAGCATTTGGCATGTAAATAGACGTGTGTGGTTTGGGCGGCCAAACGGAGAATGCTTCTTTGTTACCAAAAGATTAATATCTTGCTAGAAATGGTGTGATTCCTGTAAGGTCCAGGAAATCCTGCACAGAAAAGTTGCTTTGCAGTTTGGGACTAGAGCTACCAATCCCAGAACCTGTCACCAGGCCTCTCACTTTGCACCTCTCGCCTCCAAGGGAGGGAAGCATCCTCAACAGTCTCCAGGGTCCCTGAGAATCCCCTGCCGCTGAATCACCACTGCTACAATGGCCCGTGGGTACACATCCGGGCCACATCCTTGGTATTTCACTAGATCTTTATAGCCATTCTCCTGCCTCCCTGCTTGTAGTGACCTCATAAACCCGTCCTTTTTTTTTTTTTTTTTTAAAGACAGTCCCATTTTCATCTATGGGATCAGTTGAACGTCCCTTTTCTGCCACTTACCAGTAGTCACTGGTTCTTGTTCACGTCAGTAACCCTCGGTTAGCATCGGTTTCCAAATCTGCAAAATTGGCAACAAATTATACTTCTTCTGCCTACCTCAGGAGGCCACTGAGATGATCAAAGCCTTGTGGGAAAGGCTTTGAATATTTAAAGTGAGCCGACAGCATCACCCTAGAACAAGGTGCTTATGTATCAGGACATTGTCTGGTCTTCACACATCTTCTTTAGATCGGAACATTGACCTTCACAGCACGTTGTCAAACTGCTGTCCTGGCCGTCTGCTGGAAGACAAGCTGACTGTCAGCCGGGAGAGCAGGTCAGGCCCTGGGAAGCAGACTCTGGGATGGAGAGAAGCTTGCAGGTGTTTTTTGGGGAGTGCTCTTGGGAACAACACCTGGGAACGGGAAGGGAAGGAAGGAGAAAGGGGCAGAGTGAGAAGGCGAGCTGTGATGCTATCTCAGCGCAGTCCTCAACCAGCCTACAGAGAACTAGGGTGACCCTTCTAAAAAAAATTTTTTTTTTTATTTCAGAGAAAGAGAGAGCACGTGCGTGAGCAGGAGAGAGGGGCAGAGGGAGCGAGAGAGAGAATCTTCGGCTCCATGCTGAGCCCCACCCTCATGTGGGGCTTATCGTGAGACTCCTCATGGGGCTTGATCCCATGACCCTGGAATCATGACCTGAGCCCGACATCAAGAGTTGGATGCTCAACCAAATGAGCCACCCAGGCGCCCCTAGGGTGACTGATGCTTGCAGCTGCTCGAGTTGGAATGAGGAGGCCATACCTTTATTCTCCTATTTGAGCAGTCGATGAGTTCAGGCCTTCCAGGGAAGGGGTTTTCTTCCGCAGAGACAATTGCCTGGGAGCAGCTGGAGTCTGCCAGCTGGGAGAAGGAGTCCTCTGTCACCCGAAAGGGGATCTGGTTGGTGCCTGTCACAAGGCCCACCACCCTGATCTTTTGCTTTGTGTTGTTTACTTGTGGAATATGCTTAGTACATTGTCCTGCTGGTAAAATGCGTTGATTCTCTGTGGGGCCTTCAGAAATTACCTCGGAGTTAGAACACCCATGTTCCGGAGATGATTCTGCCCTTGTCTGCATTAACAGACTGAGTGTGGGAGGTCCCTAGTAAAAAGTTCTCTGTCTCTGTCTCTCTCTCTCTTTCTCTGGGAATACCCCAAGATCTGCTTCTTAAACCATCCTATCCCACTTCCCCCAACGGTTAGACTTCAGCCTTTGGACCACCGATGCTGGAATTCAGACTTCACATCCATGGTGTAAACCATGCCTCACTTCTCTCCCACCGAGTCCAGGCTCCGGGACTCCAGCCCCAACCAGAGCCCCAGGCTCCCTATGTAGTCATTAAGGGAAGCTGGACACTGCTAATCTACCATGTGCCTTAAACTGTCACTCAACATCTCTTCAACTATGAAACAAGAAGGTCTGTTCTTTGCATTGTTATCTCAAAATTACTGGGTTTAGCAATCAAGTCAGGAAGTGAGAATATATGTTGTATGTGTGTGAGTGTGTGTTTCATGTATGTGCGTGTGTTCATTTCATAGGCATGGATTTGCTGGATGCATAGATGGATGGGTATGTGTGTCTCACAGCTTGGATGAATTCTACGAAATAGTCCACAGTCTGCATTTTCCCCACCACCATGTTTCACTTGTATGTCTTTTGGGAATACAATCATTATCGTGGAATAAATCGCTAGTAGAAAATTTTACCAAGAAATTTTGATAAATACAGCAGATGAAGGTGAAGTCTTGGTACTCTTACTGGAACATAGTAGTTTCTCGAAAAGGTGTCTGTAACCTACCACCTTACCCTTTCAGTACCTAAAACCCAACTTTTCATTCATTCATTCATCCATTCATTCAATAAGCATTGAATACCCACTGGCAGTGAGGCCGTGACCCCAGTCCTTGCCCCAAATAGCAACCAGATGTCTTCATGCAGATTCAAACATGATCACAAGATGATGAATTTAGGCTGTACGTAGAGTAACGCTCTTCTTTTTTATGTGTATGTCTTAGTGGTCTATCTTTTCAAAGATGCTCAGTTTTTCTTATGAGAAGTGTATGTAAATGTGTATCAAAAAAGAAAGTTTTCCCCACATACTCCCAAACATAGTAGCCAGTAGGCTACTTCAGTCCACAGGGAAAACCAATTTTGTCCTCTTAATTCACTTTCCGACCCATGTTATGGGTCTGTTGTGTAACAAAAGTGCTTAGCTAACAGTACCTCTACACTGCATTTTTTCATTTTCAAAGTGTTTCCATAGCTGTTAACAAATGCAAGCCTCCCATAAACCTTGGTAGGTAAGCTAGACCATATTAAACCCGTTATATTGAAAAGGAACCCAAGGCACAGAGAAGGTTGGGGGATTGTTTAAGATCGCTCAGCTTGTCATTTAAAACAAAATACAAAAACAAAACTAAATCTGGTGCCCAGCTCTCTTTCCGTTGAAAATGGTGTCTATTTTAGAGTTTTTCATAGTAGATGCATTTTTATGACCTCGAGTTACACATGCCACAATCCAACCCCACCCCCCGCCCAACAACCTGACAGCAAATATCTCAGCTTGTCTGTAGCCTGTGTGATTAGTAGCTAAAATGACTATTGGCATGTATCAATTCATATGAATCACTGATTAAAGAGGACTGCTATGAATCCAGGGTCTCAATTTGTTAAGCCCCAGGACACAATTCAAGCTCTCCGTAATCTGGCCTACTTGCTACTTGTTACTAATTGCTTGGACTTTTGAAATTATTTTATATTTTGAGGAGTAGTTTTAAATTCTCTTGGGTATCTTGAAACGTTCTGTTATAGGCAGCAGATAAGTATTTGCCTCTCAGTATCATCCCTTCTTGGCTTTAGTGCACAAGAAGAGCATCATTATCTTAAAACCTCAAGAGGGGACAATTTTAGCCAGCAAACAGGAAGCAGGAAGAACTTTCCCTCATCCTGCGCCTCTGGTACATGCTGAACTCTGCCTCCCCGACAGATGCCTCAGACACCAGAGCAGCAGAAGAAGGAGCAGGGAGGTAAGTGAAGAGGCTGTGGGGCCGGTTCCTGCAACCTTTTCCTAGCCCCTGTGCTCACCTCCTCTAGAAAGCTCTTCCTGATAAATTACATTCCTTCACCTTAAACTACTCCAGCCTTTCCTCTGGAAGTGACCACAAAAAGCTCATACTACGATAGCAAATTTAAAAAAAAGAAATAGGCAATAAAACTACATGTGCAGATTTATTTGTATCACATAACTCACAAGATAATCCTAAAGGAGAAGGTATTTGAAACCTCTGATATAATTTTGTGTTTATAAATTCAAATGCAAATGATGTACCGACATACCCTAAACAGATACGTGTGCTCACATGGAAAAATGCTAGAAGGATAACTGGTACAATATAACATTAATTATTCTTTCGTGTTAGGATAACGGGTATTTTCTAAGTTCTCTGTACCGAACATGGATTATTTTTGATACTAAGAAAAAACATTACTTATAAAAAAAAGTATTCCTTAAAAAAAAAAAGTATAATCTTGGGGTGGCTGGGTGGCTCAGTCGATTAAGTGTCTGACTTCAGCTCAGGTCATGATCTTGCCGTTCAGGGGTTCAGGCCCTGCATCAGGCTCTGTGCTGACAGCTCAGAGCCTGGAGCCTGCTTCGGATTCTGTGTCTCCCTCCCCCACTCATGCTCTGTCTCTCTCTCTCCCTCTCTCTCTCTCTCTCAAAAATTAATAAATATTAAAAAAAAACAAGTGTAATCAAAAATCTATCATATTCATGTATATATGCCCTTTTTTAAAGGTCAGAATTGGTTGCACAACAATGTGAATGTATTTAACACTATGCCACATTGTTGTTGTTGTTTTAAAAGAGAGTAAAGAAATAGAGTATGGGTGAAGCCCTTTTCTATGAATGAAGTCTATAAGCTTTAGAAAAATTAAAAGGACCAGAAGAATTGCATTAAAATGTTACATAATTCCTTTTCTTTTTCCTGAGTGGTGGATTGCAGCTAATAGCTATTTTAATCTTCATTATTTTGTTTAGTTTCTTAATGTGCACGGGATGATTAATATTAAATTTAAATTAAAAATAATTAATTCCATGATTTCAAAAATACTGAATAAAAATAGTGACTATGTACGTAACGAGCATGGGATGATTAATATTAAATTTAAAATAATTAATTCCACGATTTCAAAAATACTAAGTAAAAATAGTGACTACGTACATCAGTTTGTCCTTTTGGACACGTTGTTTTATATTTATTTGCACGTGGTTTCATGTGCAAATTTCATGTCCTCAAGGGGACTGAAGATTTCCGGGAGGTCTTCCCGTTGTTTTGCTGTCTTTAGAGTATTTTATGCATATTAAAGTGTGCATGTTCATGAACGACGCTCTCATCTACCCACATAAAGGGGAGGGGAGCCTGCTCTGACCATTGCATTTCTTCTGCAAATGTAAATATCTGATCATAAGACTATGTAAAACATTTGAAATCCGTCAAAAACACGACAGACACGCAGGCCACTTTTATTGTCATCACTGTGCTCATTATGGGTCTGAAAGCTCATCTATGTTAATTTTGAGCAGGGTTCCCATCCTTTGTCTCCAGGCACAGGCCACACACTGAGCTGGCATCCTTGCTGTGGGAAGAACAAAGCAATTTACCGTTATTGGCAAGTTGGCCAATTTCATCATTAATCGATCATTCGCTTTTTCCAGTGGGGTCCTGAGGCTTTCCTCTAGGGAGCAGAGGGAGAGAGCAGGATTTGCTCGGTTGGGCATGGCAGCAACAGCCTGTGAAAGAAATTTTCAAGGTATTCCATCAATAAAGGAAGGTCGCTTGCCTTTGCAGCAGCATGCATTTCAAACCCAAGGAAAATCAGGCTTAGGATTTCCATCAAATTTGGCTTTCGGTGGAAGTTTTTGTTACTAACGCCCTGACTCTGCTGCAAATGCTTCTCCCAGAGGGATGTGGCATGATTCTCATGATTTTCGTACTAGAGGAAAGGGGACCAGAGGAACACGGAGTGCCCTGTCCCCTCGACCACTTGGCTGTCACCGCAGACTCGTCCTCAGCTGTCACATCATGTGGAGACAGCAGGTTGGAGAAGGAAGCAACATGGCACTCCTGATCCAGAATGCCAAGAGCTGTACTGAGATACAGACAGTATCTCTTTGCTCCTTTTTTTTTTTTTTTTTTTTTTTTTTTTTTTTTTTTGCCACGAGCCCCAAGCTCTGGAGAGCATCGATAAGGGAACACAATGGACAAGAAGTCAGGGCCCACAGGATAACGGGACTTTGAACCTCAGTCGTTGTTAAATTTACAAATCACTCAAGTGACTCTTTTAGCTAAAGATGGAGGGAAGAAATGGTTTTTTTGTTTTTGTTTTGTCTTTGTTTTGAGAGAGACAGCATGAGCAGAGGAGGGGCAGGGAGAGAGGGAGGGAGAGAGAATCCCAATCAGGCTCCGTTCTGTCAGTGAAGACCCCAATGCAGAGCTCAAACCCAGGAGCCGAACTGCGAGATCATGATCTGAGCCAAAATCAAGAGTCAGATGCTTAACTGAATGAACCACCCAGGTGGTCCCAAGAAATGAGATTTTGACCCATTTTGGACCCATAATGCCTCTCAGGAGGAAAGATTCTTCAGAACAGTCTTGTTCCCCTCTCAGTCATATTCCAGACAAAGACCCCAAGGAGGGAGACACCACATGGCCCTCAGTGTCGATCATCATGTGCTGTATCAGAAACACAGGTGGCTGGTCTCCTTGCACAAGCGGCCAGATCACTACCTTACTCTGCCTCCTTTTTCTAATCAATGACAAGAGCACATGAAATATAGCTGAGTTTTCTAGTCACTCTTATAGAGGACTAAAGAAATAGGGGGAGGGGTGCCTGGGTGGCTCAGCCGGTTAAGCATCCGACTTCAGCTCAGGTCATGATCTCACGGTTTGTGAGTTCGAGCCCCGAGTCGGGCTCTGTGCTGACAGCTCGGAGCCTGGAGCCTGCCTCGGATTCTGTGTCTCCCTCTCTCTCTGCCCCTCCCCCACTTGTGCTCTGTCTCTCTCTGTCTCTCAAAAATGAATAAATGTAAAAAAAAAAAATTAAAAAAAAAAGAAATAAGGCGAAAATGTATTCATGCTACTTTCAACTCCTTCCCCTAAGAAACACAAAACTACCATAACAAAAATCAAAGTATCTTCTCTATGTCACTTTTAATTCCTTATGTTATCAACTCAAGCCAATTTTCAGTATCGTAATGGTGGGAACCAAGTCTTCCCCATAATTTGCCTCTCCCAAAGAGCCCAAGTCAGCTTTCTGTGCTCCTAGCACAATGGATGCTTATAAAATTAATGAAAACTAGCATGTGCATAACATATTTTAATCTTCACAGCACTTTTCCATCTGGGCACATCTTACTGTGTCCTGCTGCGCTCGTAGCAGGAAATTGAAGCCCCAAGGGGTTGACTTGTCCTGTATCATAAAGTACGACAGAGTTGGAACCAGAACTCAGGTTCTACTTTGGCTTGTGGTTTGAGTTTCCTTCTTTGGAAATACAAAAGTGGTGCGAAGGTAATGCTGGGGCTGATCGAACTAAGAAGTTATTTCAAGACTTGGGGCAGCAGGTTCTGAAAGTGTCCAAAACATCTTCCCAGAATCAAAATAGGGAAAGAAAGATGAGTTCACATATATGAAATGAGCTATCTTAGTCATGGATCTGAGAGAGTTCAGACTTCCTGAATACAATGTCCATACCTCAGTTGGGGATCCCAGATGGAAAGGCAGATGTCTCAGACATCCTGGTAGATGTTTTGAGGACAGTGAAACAAACATGTCAAAATGGATGATTGTACTTTTTATGTGTTACACCTGACTCAGACTAGTTCTGGCATGAATTTCCCAAGTTAGTTAATGTCAGTGGAAATCAACAAGGATGCCTCTCTACCAAGCTAGGAATACCTAAAGTACCAATAAGCACCCTTCCCATAAAATAATATTAATACATTTAATAAAACAGTCATTAAAATGTTATTCTCTAATTTCCTGATAGAATGCATTCTATCAGAATGCAAAGATTCTCTTCTTGACCCAACTCTAGGAAGACTCCTCTGAACCCTCTTCTTGACGAGGCCTCAATCTTAGATTTGAACAAACACTAACAGAAGTTCTAACAGTTGCAGGCTACATTCCTAAGATGACTTCAGTCCCCCTTAAAGTACCTGCCTGAGGAAAATGCAAGACTGCTGAAAGAATTTGCCATTTGTTCCAGCCAACACCTGAAGACAGGGGCCCGTCTCCCCATCACTGTGGGAGAGGAGGGACCTAATGGCATAAATACCAGTTGGCAAACCCAGATGGGTTTCACATGGACCAACTTCCCTTCCTTGCGTTTTGAAATGTTTCACTCCTCTGACTTTACTGAGCCCATCTCCCTTCACCCCTCCCTTCCCATTCTCCCGTTAAAATGTCCAGTCACGGGGCGCCTGGGTGGCTTGGTCGGTTAAGCGTCCGACTTCGGCTCAGGTCATGATCTCACGGTCCGTGAGTTCGAGCCCCGCGTCAGGCTCTGTGCTGACAGCTCAGAGCCTGGAGCCTGTTTCAGATTCTGTGTCTCCCTCTCTCTCTGCTCCTCCCCTGTTCATGCTCTGTCTCTCTCTGTCTCAAAAATAAATAAACGTCAAAAAAAATTTTTTTTTAAAATGTCCAGTCACCTCTGTACAGATCAAAGATGAGTTCGGTTCAGGCTGGACTCTTTTCCCTCTTGCAATAGCTATTACTGAGTAAATTCTGTCCTTCCCACTTTAACTAGTATCCAGCTTTGTTTATCTTTGACAGAAGGGAGCTTCTGCCTGGCTACCTCTGTATTTCCAACGTTAGTGCAGTGTTTGGTCGCAGCGCCTGCTCAATGGGTATTTGTTAAAAGAATGAATGAACACACACAGCATTCACTGTGGAGAATTCATTGAGAACTCGGTCCACAAAACCCATTCACGTCGTCCGCAACCCCTGATGTTTTATTCCTTTCCCATGTGGACTCAGGAGTACATTCTGCTTGTCAGCTTTCCCAGAATGCCACCCCACAGGGTGACTTCTGCCCAGGACTTGACTGTCAGACATATCTTGACTGGCCTAACTGTTCTTTTCCTTCCTCTGAACACATGCTTTTCTAAGACATCCATCCCATCTCAAGCGTGGCCTCTGAGAGAATTTGCAGAGAGAATAGATTTACCAGCATTATAACTCGCTCAAGGTTGTGGGTTCCAAATTTGAAGCTGAACTTGAGGTTCAGGTTGCAGTGAGCACTGACAAAAATATGACCTCCTAGTTCAAGAATAAAGGCCCCAGGGGTTTCTTAGCTATCAAGTTGCTCTTACAAAGGAAGATTCTGACGAGGCAAGTGTAAAACAATCAGAGTCCAAAGGATTTAATTTCTCTTAAAATATTTGATGGAGGAGGCATTTATTTAGCAACATGTATGTGGAGTCTCACTCATCTCAAAATGTTTGAAAAAGAGATGAAGATATTTTTCCAATACCACGATGTGGCTCGGTCCTCTCTTCCTTTTCCTCTTTGAAGAGTGCCTGAAAAATCGCACTAAATATTCCCAGGCCAACTTCTGTACCACTTGAATATGACCATCATCCTAGATAAGTTTGGTTCAGGATACAGTAATGAAGCGGAACTTACTAAAAAGCAACAAAAGCAGCGACAAGAAAGAATAAAATTTAAAATCGCCTAAATTCCTCAGCAGTGCTCTAATTTAACACGGATCTGGTGAGAACTTGGAATACATATAGTTTCTTTGAAATACTGTTTGTGGAAAAAGATGTTGCCTATAGCTATAAATCTTTCTTGTTACCATCTCAGAAACTTCCAGAGGACCCTGGCCTGTCCAGCCAAATACGGGATTCTTCTGGGTTCGGAACTATCATATACCTTTACACTTTTACTGCCTGGAATGTTTCAGGGAAATGTTATGAGGCTCCATGTGCTCTCTGGGCTCCAGCATATCACCCTCTTTCCAACAAGTAAGAAAACACACAACTATGCTTAAGATTGAACCATGAAATACAGAAGAGAGAGAAACGGTCTCTCCCCACAAGACGTTTATAATCTGGGATTTGAGATAAGAGTTACGCAGTTGAAGGAATTTGTATACAAGACTAAAATAATAATAATAATAATAATAATAATACAAATAACTAATATTTATCATGTCCTCACTTGTGAAAGGGATTGTTCTAAATGCTTTACATGTATTCTATCATTTTCTTCTGACAACTGTCTTATCAGACAGATGTTGATAGCATCCCCATCACACAAGAGAAAACTTCAACAGGATAGGTTAAAGGCTTTGCCCCAAGTCACACAGCTGGATAGTGGTAACACTCAGATTCAAGGTCAAGGCAGGTAGTTCCAGAGCCCGAATGCCACTCCTCTTCCTACTACTGCCTTCAAACACGTGTGTGCTCCTGTAAAGGTTAATACACGTATGCGTTCACAGAGAAACATCTACGTGACCATTACAGACTCAGAGCAGGGCTTGCCAATTCAGTCCAAATAGAAACCTTACTTCAATGTCTGCCATGCGTTTTAATCGCTATTTGAGTCAAAAATGTGCACTAGGGACTTCTTATATGCAAGCGAAAAGGAGTTAAAGCATAGTGTGCCCACAGTGGGACTAAAACAAGCCTGAAAATGCTCTCGTGGTGAAAGGAAGGTGAACGTCACGTATTGCTGGGGGCATATGGAAGAGTTTTCGTAAAAGGCAGGTTAATTGAGCTGGGTCAGAATTTCTCAGCGATGGGAATTTGGGAGAGTTGAACAGCATTATTTATGTATATTTATCTACAATCTAAAAGAAGTGATTTCCATATCATAATTTTGTTATTGCTATTCTCCCTTATCTAACTTTTCCTCATGCCATGTTAATTGCTTACTATACCTGACCTAGACTTCATTCACCAAAATGGAAAAAAAGCTGATGGTCATGACAAAAAAAAAAAAAAAAAAAAGAAGAAGAAGAAAGACTTTCACCCCAAACCAAAGCTGGACCGGTTCAGAGAACACCAAGAGTGCCAGGTATGGACAAACTCAGGGCAACAGCCTCCACAGAATAAGCATCAGGTTCGTACTCATTTAACAACACGGCACGTTCTCTCTGTTCAGTTCCTCCCTTCCTGCCTCTTACCCTCCTCTCCTTCTGCCGGTTAGAATGTTCCCTTTATTTGAGCAGTTTCTGGAATCCATTCCTTCCAAATTATCTTTCCTAATACTGGCAAGTTATTCTTTGCCTCTCCTTCTCTAACCATGACACTTTCAAAACAGCCTCCTATAAGGCCACCCAACTTTTTAAAAACTATTCCCCTCATCATCACCATTTTTTGAGGCTTGATAATCTTTTCAATTCGAACACAACTGACTACCATCAGTGATCTACAGCATGGCATAAAGTAAAGCTCAAATATATACATACATCAGAGTCTTCACTTGAAAAACCAAAGATTACTCTAATTGCATTATTGAGGATAAATGATGCCCAACAGTGGTTGTAGGAGAAGAAAAACAGGAAAGAAAGAACATAACGTAATACAACAGTATCAGAACAGTGGAGACGGCTTCTAAAGATATAAAAGCAAAAAAGACAGCAATAATAACAGATTTTAATAAAAGCCAAATATAAAAAAACCAGGGGAACTCATCTAAGGTTTGAAATGTGTTCATATTACTCTCAACCCCAATTCCTTAAAACGAACCCCCACATTTATGTTTTAGCTCTTAGATCATCTTTCTCCAACGCCCTCCTTTTCAAATACACACATCCATCCTGAGATGCCCACCATTCACCCTCATTACTTCTCCACCTAGCCCTGATGTCTCCAGCTTTCTAGCCGCCGTGACCTTCAGTATTACATTTTGCTCCAACCACGATGCATCTCTACTCTGTGTTACCTGGATCCTTTATGTTGAACACCCCTTCCTTCTTTGATGGGGCGCAGGTCAACTTGCGTAATAAAAGAGGAAGGCTGATGGAAACATAATGAAAGCAGCAGAGGTTATTGAAAATGTTCTTTCACTAAGTAGATACATCCCCAAAACATACACAGGGAAGACAAATAAGTGTGTGGCTCTGGAAGAGGAAATGAAACAAATATGGAGACTGTGGTACATCAAAGGAAAGCTCACTATCATGTCAAGGATGGGAGGGCTGTGCATAAATGACTTAAGTATCAGAAGAAAGGGGAAATTCGTCATGAATTCCTCTCTAATCAGAATCTTATACTTCTGGACACCTGATGTATAACAAGGACATTTGAATTTCAGCAATGCATGATTAAATGTACCTGGCTTATCCTATACTGTTTTAGCACATGAAGACCATATTGGAGTCAACATGTGTTGAGCTGTGCCAGGTGCTCTGCGAGGCCTGGATTACTGGGAAAAGGAAATATACGATAACCAATGGAGGAAAAACCATGTTGGAATATATTCTGATTTTCTGATGTCTTTAATAAGAAATCACTTAACAAAATGGAGGGAAATCTTTGAAGCAAGTAAATTATCCAACAGCAAGTTTTGAAGAAGGGATTTTGCCTACCTTTATCTGAGGAAGGAAAAATGGGGACGATACGTATGGGCATTCATGTGCCTTAGTCATGAAAAGCAGAAAATAAGACAATTAATGGTCACACTTAAGGAACACATTTAGCAACTTTTATATGAATAATACTGATAACTGTCATTGAAAAGAGATTGAAGAAATCTACAGATGAAAGTAAGATGATAATCTTCCTCTGAAATGTATAAGGAAAGCAAAGGTTATATAAACCCCATTCAGGATAGTAGCAAAGATACTCTATTTACACTTAGGAGTTTTGCTTTCTCTCTTTGTCCTGTGACACTGCAGTTTACTTGTGCAAAAAAAAAAATGCTGACATTAATCATAAAAACTGATTACTATACATAAATAGGGAGAAATAGGAAAAGGTTGGTGAAAAAAAAAAAAAAAACCTGATTACTGAGTAAAGAATTATAGTTTTGTAGGGGTGCCTGAGCGGCTCAGTAGTTTAAGCATCTGACTTCAGCTCAGGTCATGATCTCATAGTTCATGAGTTCCAGCCCTGCATCAGTCTCTGTGCTGACAGCTCAGAGCCTGGAGCCTGCTTTGGATTCTGTGTCTCCCTCTCTCTCTCTGCCCCGCCCTCTCTCTCTCTCTCTCTCTCTCTCTCAAAAATAAACATTAAAATTTTTTTAAAGAATTACATTTTTGTAGGGGCGCCTGGGTGGCGCAGTCGGTTAAGCGTCCGACTTCAGCCAGGTCACGACCTCGCAGTCCGTGAGTTCGAGCCCCACGTCAGGCTCTGGGCTGATGGCTCGGAGCCTGGAGCCTGTTTCCGATTCTGTGTCTCCCTCTCTCTCTGCCCCTCCCCCGTTCATGCTCTGTCTCTCTCTGTCCCAAAAAT